TCACAATTAACCTCTCTAGAACTGCAAAGTAAGGGAAATTACACTTGACTTCAGCTTTAATTACAAAACAGCAGGAGATGTGCTGCACACGCATGAAGATAAAATACACAAAACAATACACGTGCACACAAAAGCCCACACCAATGCAATGGGACACGATCATGTGTGAGCGCTCGAACACAGTATCAAGAAGATCCTATGAGTTGCATGTCTGGAGAGAAACTAAGATGCACATGAAAAAGAAACGCACGGCACCAAATCACTCGTACATTTCGTTTTAATAATTCATTTGAGAGTTTTTTTTAATACGGCTCAACACACTGCTCAAAAATGACTGATGGTGTCATTTGTCAAGTCAGACGTTATGAACAAATTTACACAGAGACACATTATATTCAATCCCAAATATTTCAGCTGCAAATGAGACAGTGCGGAGTCTTTACAAATATTGGTATGCATATTTCATGTTTTGATTAAGGTTTGGGCCGGCAGAATCTCAGCATCTTTCAAGGTTCTGAGATGCATAAATATTAATAAATGTAAGCCCACTGTCTTCTCTTTGCTCTCTCTGCATTATGAATGACATCACATAACATTAGGTTGCCGGGTAATGATAAGAGAACAGTGGTGCCAGTTTGATGAGTTATGCATGAAAGGGCCTCTTTCAACCCTCCCCAGTTTCAGTCTCGGCAAAGCTCGTTTGCTTAAAGCTATTTTGATGTGTGCCTTTGTGAGACCTTTGTGTGGGCTTTTCATTTCTTCCTTTTTATTTACTTTTCAAACTTCAGATTCACAAATTGGGAATCCATTTTACATTGAGCAAATTTTTGCCTGTGCCAAGTCACTTGGGCCTCAGGATGTCACTCAGTGGTTTAGTCACGTGGAGAAGAGTCTTTCTTTAGTTTAATTGTTTTATGTGTGAATCCGTGAATTGGCATTTTACCATCTCACTGTTAAACATTACAAATGCTTTCATATGGAAATAAGGTAAAGTGCATAGCAGCAGGACATATTCACTCAAGTAACAGCCATAGACTGCATTTAAAGAGACAAAGCATCTTCACTTCCTCCAACGATCCAGAAATGAAGCAAAAATATCCCAGACACAAACGCAGCCATCTTACACATTGGAGGATGGACTCACAATATAAAGGTCTCATTGATACACGCGGTGGACTAATCGTGAGACAAACTACCTAAAATTGCAGACATCTTTGAGAAAAAAACTATTTGACATGTACTTTGACATATTGGTTTGGTCCATGTCCCATCCTCTAATACTGAAAAGGCAATATTCATTATCTATACTGCAGCCAGCCACCATGTGGCCATACAGAAGCTCTGGCTTCAGTCTGCAGCTTGGGCCGCAATCCTCTGCCCAAACCCGACGGAGCCCGAGGGAAAAGTAACCAAGCATGACCCTGACCCGACAGGCATTCTGGTTTAAGTGTTCGACCCAAACCCGAATATCATTTCAAAATGTTGTCAGAACCAGGCCTGGCCACACTCTCTTTCGCTTCACTTTTGGGGAGCTGTCATGTCATCCATTTTTACACTCATCTAAACATCTCTACGTGCATTGAAAACAAACATCCCTCTCAGTAAAAGGCCACTACATTGACACATTCAGGATGCTGAGCTCTCTACCACTGATGTGAACGTAATATGAACACAGACCTCAGATTAATCTTCTCCCTGATGCAGCCTAACAGTCCCACTCCTCCACAATTCCACAAAGTGTTTAACAGTACATTGCATGAATTTGTAGGTTTTATCATCTTTATTTGTATGTTGGTTTGCTTCATCATGAATACAACCAATGATCAAACCAAATATCAAGAGCCATGAATGGTTTTGTGAAAAAACTTCAATGGGTTTCTTCCTGACTTGAACCACTTCCTCCCACCAAGTTTCATGGTGATCTACTCAGTGGATTTTGTGTAATCCTGCTAAATAACAGACAAACAAACAAATGAAGACGAAAACCACCTCCTGGGTAGAGGTAAAATATGTGCATTTATCACAGTGCACAAATAAAACAAACAAAATTATGCCAATGCAACCATTTCCATTTGCATTAATGAGGGCTTCCAGCATGTGTATTGTGTATATGTGTGTATATTACCTGTTTGCTCCTGCTGTGAAGGTCTGTGCTTCTACCCTGTGTTTACACATACACTTTGCCTCACATATGTACCATTGTCATGGTCATAGCTATGCTTCGGGTTCATTTCTAGTGTTTCCAGTATTTGAGTTTCCCCCTGAGTTCTCCTGTCGGTGTGTCTGTGTGTCTCTGTGCCTGTGTGTGTGTGTGTTATTTCACATTTTGTTAGAACTGTGGATTCTAAGTTTTGAATCTCCTGTTGTTGTGATCACTGAACTAATCCTTGTCTCCCTCTGCCAAAAGATCCTCTCCACCTGCCTGTTCTCCTGCCCCCCCGGCCACCAGCTCCCCTCTGCTTTCTACCAGGAGTAATCCTCACATCCATCCACCTTCTCTCCCAGAGAGCAGCCAAAATAAACTTTGTCTTATTCTTTCTAAGCCATGAGTCTGTGTCTGGCGTCCTGTTGATCTTTAGCAGTGTGAGACGTCAAAATATGTGTTCTTCAAAGGGTTTGTCTAATTATGTTTGAAACAACAGGATATTCTACACATCGAGCAAACACAAACAGAAACACTAGAGATGGAACTTATTATTCATGCCTCATGGGTTGTACTGTTCACCATAACCCATCAGTTAGAGTGACATGTATAAACCTAGCAGCGTGACGCACTTCTGTAAACAATGTGCAGCATCGCAAATCATCTGTCTCCGTCCACTGTAGGTTAAATGCCTCTGCACTGGACTATTCATTTAGCGAGCTGTGATATCTGTAATCCTTAAAAACAAACATTCCCTGATGCTTTTCTCATCAATAATGAAAAGCGCTGCTTCGTTTAATTTTAGAATACTCTAAGCAGAATGCTCTTTATGTTCTTTTTCAATGAATTAGAGTTTATTGTCTTTACATAGTGTTTTAAGGAAATCATGAGTGGTTACACGCTGCATAGTCCCACTAGTATCATATAATCAATTACAATAAAAGGGAAATGACATGATTTCAGCTACAAGGAGGAAACATAATCAGTGTGAGGTAAATAATGAACCAAGAGAGGAGACAAGTTGAATCAGGATGAAGTGGCATCTGCTCAAACAGTGGGAGGTTGCGACCACACACACACACGCACAAACACACACACGCACGCACACACACGCACACACACAATGCAGAGGTGAAGCAAAACATGCAGCTCCTCATGGTGCTGCACGATTGTTGATTTTTTAATGCATGAGTGGAGGAAGGAACAAAGAAAATGGGGCAAAGTAACATGTGTGCAAACACAAACCAGCTGTTGACTGACACACACACACACAGACACACACACCAATACGTTCATGTTAAAAGCTGCCAAGAAACATCAGGATCTGCGAAATTGCCTTTTCCACAGGAGTTGCTGTACCCTTCAGCCTCCACCTCCTGGGTCAAGTTGGCATTTTCACAATAAGAAGCAAAAGATCATCAGAGTTGGTGGGTGGAGAGAAAACAGCTTAAACGTGGAGTGACAGTTTACATCATAACTATGGAGGTTCCCTCTTTAATGAGGCACAATCAAATAACTGGACATGTTTTTCCACCGACTTGCACACTCTAAATTAGTATGTGTATACTCTCCATGGCCAGGATTGGTAAGTAATACAATTATTCTGAGTTCATAAACATGTAATTAGATTAGAACTTGCATGCAACATGATTATGTTCACAGTGTGAGTAGGAAGTAAAATATGCCTCATCTCTTTAGAAGATATGAATATGAATAAACAAACGTGGCTGTGTACTAAAGATTATTAGAAATTACTAGAGTAGTCCGCAGCTGTGGCATGGACCATTAGACCAGGCCTTTGCAGAAACTGAACAGGCTGAACACTGTCTGCGTCTGTCAGATTGATAATACTTTTGATATTGATACCCAAGTTGCAGTGATCCTTAGTTTTATGAAATCTCATCGGCACAAAGGAACTGATTGGAGGAGTTTCATGTAGTAACAGAGATGACTCAGAGCCTTTTTTGATGGATACAATGGTGAAAAGAAAAACTAATAAGAAATGAGTGGAGCAAAAAACATACAAGAATTTAAAAAAGCTTTGCCATGTAGGAAAGGATGCCTCTCATGAGTCATGTATACATTTTCTTGTATACATAGGCCTATATATTACATTTCTATATATATTATGGATAACAGTTGTTACCATGTTGACACACAAAGCATTAAATCAACATAAAAAATATCATAACAGACGCAGCCCTGAAGTACAGTCCCCTTGCTTCCCTGGTTTTTATGTGTTTGTTTTCCTCAGGTTTTCAATCAGTCATTTCTCTTCTGTCTAAAACTCCTTTTCAGCATTATTTTGTCAAGATTGGGGTTGAAATTAAGATGTGCATGCAGATAGAAGAGTCCGTTTTACATCACAAAAATACTGTTTTTTTCAAATGTATCTCTGCAAAAGTTTATAAAAATGCATTGAACTTTTCACTGAACGTTGTGTAAAAACTCAACAATGAAAAACACGCTGCTGTAAATGAAACTCACCATCGTCCTGTCTCTAATAATAATCTGGTGTCTCTTATTTTTGAGGAATAAGTCAACACCTCGGCCTTATTAGAACTTTTGCTGATCCATCCTCAAATGTACAAAAATAATCTGACAGGGATCAGAATATATTACCAGTGTTGGAGGAAATTAATGATCACAATTCTGATAATGGCTACTAGTGTCTGTGATGGAGCGTATTTCTAAAACACCCCACCCACCCACTGCGGTGAGTGGGGAAAAACATGTTTGTGGGAATATTGATGTGTCTGTGCAGGGCCGTTTGTGTGTGAGTGTGTGTGTTTTTGCAAATGTGCCGTACCCTCTCTTTCACTCATTATAGCAGGACACATCCACGTGTGGCATTTACCTCTGACCTCTACTCCGCTGAAGGCACAATTACTGAAAGGCCAGACTCTTCGGAGAATGTCCATCACATCCACTGTCTCTCTCTCCCGCTCTCCTCTCATCCTTTCTTTTTCTCCACATCAGACTCACCGGTGGCGTCGATCTGAAGTAGGAAAAGAAAGAAAAAGTGGAGTCAAACTGACATGTAGTTTAATAAGGTGAAACTTTATCTTTTCATGACTTCACACGCATTCTTGATCATGAACTGCACCTCTTTTTTGCTTTTTTCGTCCAATGTCATTTCATTTCTGTTGCTTATCTCCGGTGCATTTTCTCTGCACTTTAAATCAGAGATTAAGCAAAGTTTGGAATTTGAGCGAACAAGACAAAGTGGGAACGATGGAGGAAAAAAGAACAAGGGATGTAAAAAAGAGAAGATAAAGACAGAGTAAGAAGGGAAGCCTGATTGGGGGCAGTCACGGGCCACCTTCCTGTCCCTCTCCTTGCTTCCTTCTCTCTATCCTCCCCCTCCTCCACCTTTCCACCACCTCTCCGCCACCATCAGCAGGTAACGGCGCTCTCTTTTCAGAGAGCCAGGGATGAAGAGATTAAGAGAAAATTACACCGAGTCCTTCTCTTTGACAAGACAGGAAGTTGAGAGTCGGAACTTCAAACAACTTTTGAAAAGACAAGGTCAACGGGGGTCGGAGAGATAGACTGGACATGAGAAGGACAGACAGGTGCGGGGAGAGAAGAAGACAGAAAAAAGGTCGCTTGGGATTTGAGGTCACAGTAGATGAAGGGAAGGAAACTGAGGCTGGAGTGAATTAGAGGAGAAACGGAATCTCTGCGTTGACCCGAGACAAAGAGGAGGTTATTGTGATGGCACTGATGTATTGTCACTTGAGATCGACACCAACAGTTCTTTAACGCAGATTCAGGCTGAACAATGTACGAATCCAGCACGATGGCATTTCACTTTCAGCTAATTAGAAACATTTAGTCAACTCTCCACTGAAAGGACATCTGTAAAACTAAATAAACAGTAAACCTCAACGTACACTTGCACATTTATCACACATGTAATCACGTTCTAATGTCTTTCAGCTAAAGAGCAGGTTTGAACTTCTACACAAGTGGGGATTATACTTCACACATGTACTGTATAATAGACACTGTTAAATAAACAGTAGCAATGACTAATGAGTAAGAGGAGGAGAGTAATTCTAAAAGAAAAACTATGTCAAATTGAGGTGGAGTATTGGGCCACTGCTGATGGAAAGTTTGTGATCATCTATGGCACATTTATTTTTTTCATATTCATTACATGCAATTACAAACTGAGTGGAGCAGGAAATCTTTGCTATCTGGCTGAACGAGGTCGGTGCCAAATCATTTTCTGCTATTAGCTTTCATTAAGTTTTATCACTCTGTACAGACTGAGCTGTAAAAAAAAAAGTCTTTTAATTTAACTCTAGTGTTTTCTACTGACTTTAGTTCCTTATTTAAATATAATATAAATAGTAATTATGTATATATTTAAATGTCCCACAGGCCTCAAATGCTCTGTGTGCAAAAACAAGAGATTATTATATAATTTATCATATATATAATATGATACTTTCCTATTCTTCAATATTGTAACAAAATACTTCAGTTGTAACTCTTCACCCAGTTTCAGTCTCTCCAGGTGTTACTAACATATTGTTTTCACAATAATATAAGGTCACCATGACCTTTGACCTTGGACCATTGAAATCTTATCGATTCATCTTTTAGTCCAAGCAGCGACTGGTCAAAATGTGAGGACATTCTTGAGACTTGTTCTAGAGGCCATCTTTTACCTCCCAAATGTAAGTCTAACATTTTTGTCAAATCTGAAAGGACTCTCTCTCTCGAGTTGTTGTTATGATCAAATGTTCACAAAGTAAGAAATGGTTCTGTGAGTTCAAAACAATACTGACCTTTAACCATCAAATTCAAATCATTGCATTAAGTCCAACTGAATATTTGTACCCATGTTCAAAAGCATGGGAGGACAAACAGACATCCATATTTAATATCTATGTTACATGGGCTTTGCATGAACCAATAGGATGTTTGTTTACCCAACTGTAACACAGAAATCACATTTACAGTTATTAGTTTTGGAAGAATGGTGCTGGGAAAAACTGCTGACATCAAATGTATGTATGCTCGTACGAACAAATATTGTTCAGATATATATGTTTTACAGCAGAAAGTCTGGAAGAGCCCAGAGGAAGTTAGAGGGCAATTTTCAGTAGAAACCATAAGAAACATGTCAACAGTTCAAAATCAATTTTCATAAATAAAACTAATTAAGTGAACTATGTGTTTGGCCTGTTGAAGAGGGCCAGAGATCCCAGCATCCCAATGTGACCGTGAGGGTTAACTACAACATTTGCACTTTCCATTAATGTATGGCTTGGTAATACATTACCAAGCCATTGAGTGCAATTTACATCAAGTTTAATGTATGCAAAGAAGCATTTATTGAAACCTAAAATACAAATTTAATCTGCTCTTTAAATGTAATGCAACACTCTTACAAGTTTGAAAGTGTTTGCAATTTGAATTCTTTATGTGAACTTTTACCACAGGGCGTCACTCACACATCCTTAAATGCACACACACACTGACACTGTGTGAAGTTTAATCCTTGTACCCTGTTACTTCCAGAGCAGAAAAAAAGAGGAGGGGGAAACATCACCCTGCCTTTCTAAGAAATCAAGTTTTAATGAAACTGGGAAGTTCAAAAGAAACCAGGGATTTTATTTTAAAGAGCGACCACGTATCCATATCGTCTGAGAGCTGATTTACACTGGATGCACGGCTGCTTCTCTAAAATCTCAGTGGAGATATGGGTGAACAAGTGTGGTTGACAGAATGGCACAGTGTGTAGGAAAAGTAAAGTGTGTGTATGTGTGTGTTAGAGGGACATGTAATTTGCTTTTGTTTAACCCTGAGCTGCAGGGTCTCTTGCTTTAATAGAGTTGTAGATTAGTTTTGCAATCCCACATAATTGGCTAAGTGATAAAGCATATTTATGTATTCCTACCTCAGACTTTCTCTCTCACACACATTCAAACACATTCAAACACACACACACACACACACACACACACACACATATATAAACACATAAACACACTCACTCACTCAAAACATGCATGTATTCTAACATGCAGTACGTAAGACTTGGCTGGAGAAAAGAGAATACAACCAGCAATGGTTCAATACCTATAATCCAGCTGATTACTGGAGGAGTTCCGCGCCTGGCATCGGAGATGATGGATCATGCTTTATCCCCTTCCTTTTCCCAAGATAAAAGCCAATGACTGCGGTACGTCTTGCTCATTAGTTTTATTTTACACAGTCTGCATAACTTTCTACGCCATAGTTCCAACAGTAAACAGCTTGGGCACAAAACCAGCAACAACTCTATACTGTCAAGAGGAAAAGGAAATTACATCAGCTTTTTGTCTATGCATCATCTATACTGTTTATCCTTTGAGGGTTGAGGAGTAAACTGGAACCAATCCCAGCTGACAACAGGTGGCAGGCTGAGTGTCCGCCTGGACAGTTCACACTCACATTTACATCATTGTACAATTTAGAATCTCCAATCAACCTAACCTCAATCTGCATGTCTTTGGACACGCAGAACCAGGATTCAACTCATGAGACTTCATGCTGTGAGGCGACAGTGCTAACCACCACAACACTGCACGAGGATTGTTTACATTGAACAGATTTGGATGTGATGAGATTTTGGGTACTCTTTATACACAGTATATTATGAATTTTAATGATTCCAGAAAAATCGGTCTGTGGTACACATCTCAAGAACTGTACATTTCATCAGCTTCCAAAAAAGTGAAGGGTGATTGGACATGTGATAAGCTCAATATTCATAAAATGTTGAATAATATATATATACATACACTTATCAACGCAAGTGACGTTGATTATGACAACGTGTACAAGACAACTGCAAAAACAACAGATTCTCTAGTCGGGGTGCTGCATACAAAGTACATTGTGCAGCAGAGGTGGTGCAGCGTCAGGGTTCTGTGGCTTGACTCCTGCAGCCGGTCTTTACTTGCTGCAGTTTAATTACTGCAGGTTACTTTTACAGTTTCAGACTGAAAACTGCAGTCAGTCTTTCTACAGGCCAAACAAACAGCTCATTTAAAACAGGCGGGTTTAGAACAGACACGGCACTAGTTTCTGGGAAATGCACGACAACAGATGTTACTTAACTCAGTATCCAAAATATTATACGATTTTGCAAGCACAATATATCAAACAGCATTTCTGGTAAATCTGAGGCACAACCTTGTCTTATTTATTATAGGTATAGTGCCCACAACCACCATCTGCCAGAACAGAGGGTCACAACACACCTCCTCAGGAAAACTCAAATTTTGTGATGCGTAGTGTGTGTGTGTGTGTGTGTGTGTGTGTGTGTGTGTGTGTGTGTCTGTGTTCTCTCCAGCTTACAGTACGTGCACATAATGATGCCTATATTTATATCAATATGCTCGGATGTGGAGCTGCGTGATAAATCAACATAATATCTCTCCAGTAACATAAGACACATTAACTGCACATTGACAAGTGCAGAGCCGTAAGTCTTCCGTGCTCGGGCTGTGTGAGCGTTGTCAAATGCAGTTGCTATTTTTAGGTCACGTAGGTGCAGCAGTGTAAAAAGGTGCAGGCTGAGGTGGAATATAAATCGGAGGGTTAGGTGATTCATTAATTCCCTCTTAACTAGTCACGTCACTGGTTTCATTCCTCTGACACACTTAACAGATGGAAAGAGGGTCTCCGGGAAATTCTGTTGTCTGAAATGGTGAGGAGAGGCAAGATCTGAATACACAGATACTCAAATCCGAAAGGGAGATGATGCAATGATAATATACAGCATTTTCCAAAAAAGTCAGATGAGGTGATCATAAAGCGATCGTTTTAAATACCTTGATTTCATTGTGGCTGGATTTATGAAATAAGGCATTAGTATGTTTTTTTATCCTTCGTTTATTTATGTGCATCGTCTTTGCTCTTGAATCAGCAGAGTGACATCACACCAGAATCTGATGTGTTCCTGAGACGACTGCTCTGATCACAGACACATTTTCC